GTAGTCTCACCAATGTTTTTTAAAAGATTTTATTTTTAGCTCTGGCCGCGTGGCTCAGTTGATTGGAGCATCGTCCCATTTGCCAACAAAAGTTGCAGGTTTGATTCCTGGTCAGAGCACATACCTAGGCTGCAGGTTCAATCCCATCAGGGCATGTATGGGAGGCAGCCGATTGATATTTCTCTCTCTCTCTCTCTCTCTCTCTCTCTCTCTCTCTCTCTCTGTCAGATCAATAAAACACATCCTCAGATGAGAATGTAAACAAAAAAATTTCAGAGCACTTTTTTTTAATTTCAGAGCATTTTGGTTTACAAAGATTTGAGAGGAAAACAGAAATTCCTCACATACCCCTTGCCTCACACATGCATAGCCTCCCCCATTATCACCATCACTCACCAGAATGGTACTTTTTATTTTTTTAGCCAAAGATGAACCTACACTGACATATCATCAACCAAAGTCTATAGTTTACCTTAGTGTTCACTCTTGGTATACATCCTATGGGTTTGGACAAATGTATAAAGACGTGTGTCTACCACTATAGTATCATACAGAGTATTTTCACTGCCCTAAAAATCCCCTGTGCTCTGAGAGACTGTTCATCTCTCCCCCTGATCCTGGCAACCACTGGTCTTTTTAAAAATATATATAATATATTTTTATTGATTTCAGAGAGAAAAGGAGAGGGAGAGAGAGAGAAAAAAACATCAATGATGAGAGAGAGAGTCATGGATCAGCTGTCTCCTGCACGCCCCCTACTGGGGATTGAGCCGCAACCTGGACATATGCCCTTGACCAGAATTGAACCCGATACCCTTCAGTCCACAGGCCTACACCCTATCCACTGGCAAAACCGGCTAGGGCACCACTGGTCTTTTTACTTCTCCATAGTTTGCCTTTTACAGAATTTCATGTAGTTGGAATCATACAATATGCGGCCTTTCAAATTGGCTTCTTTCACTTAGTAATGTGCATTTAAGTTTCCTCTATGTCTTTTCATGGCTTCATAGCTCATTACTTTTTATCACTAAATAATATTACATTCTTCAAATGTACCAAAGTTTATTTATGCATTCATATACTGAAGGATATCTGTGTTTCCAAGTTTTAGCAATTATGACTAATGAGAGACTGTTCATCTCTCCCCCTGATCCTGGCAACCACTGGTCTTTTTAAAAATATATATAATATATTTTTATTGATTTCAGACGAACTGGGAATCGAACCCAAAACCTTTTGGTGCATAGGACGACACTCCAACCAACTGACCCACTTGGCCAGGGCTCAGTTCTTTTTAGTGCTGAATAACATTCCATTTTCTGGTTGTACCATTTACGCACTGGAAGCCATCACGTTTTGGCAATTATGAATACTCCTGTTTCTTTTGGCACTGTGTTTCTCATATCTACAAATTCCCTTAGAATTTGCAGAGTTGGAGGCAGGAGTATCAGTGCAAATGAGAATTCCTGGTCTTACCTGAGGAGCCGATTCCTGGGATTATAAGGGTGAAGTGCTGCCACAGCAGGCAGTTTCGATTCTAGATGTGGACTCAGCACCCTTCTTGGAGTCAAATGTTCCCCAGCTCACTGCTCCCCTTCATCCCACCCTCTCTCAGCAAGAAGGTGCTCCAGGACCTCCCTTCTGGGAGACTGAGCACTGCTTTGCCCTTGGACTTCATTCTCTGTCCCACTAGGTGCACTGAAAGCCTTGGGTGATTTCAGAACCTCTTGTTTTGTCTTTCTCCACCCAGCTCTCCGGACAAGGAAGCTGGAGCTCCTTCCAGGAGCCTCTCGCAACCAGAAAAGGAGAAACTGCCCGGTTTTGGCATTTGTTTGTTTTCTTAGACCTCATTCCTCCCTTATATTTATTGCTGCTTTGTTCTTGTTGTATCTGGTTCACAGAACTCAGACAGGAGGTTTGTCCCGCAGTTTGCAAAACCCAGGAAGGCAGTGACAAGACTAGCTGCTACGAGGGAAGAGGACCTCGGGAGTGGGGCCTTTAGCTCGGTAAGACCCTAAAATCAGCAGGCTGAGCCCCATAGATGGGCAGCTTCTTGGCCAAGCCTTGGCAGCTGAGTTTAACCTTGTTGTGGTTGTTTTTTGGCAATGGCTAGATCTGCACCTCTCCACACCCCATTTTCAGCACATTGCACTACAGATGTCTCTGGACTGCAGGTGCTATGCAAGCAGCTCCCATGCCTGTGAGAGGCACTCAGGACAGCTGTGCCCATATCAGAGTGCTGGAGGCAAGAGCCCTCTTGCCCACATTGCGTGAATATTAGAAAACTCAGAAAGGCAATCCTGACCAGTTGCTGCTCAGTTGGTTGGAGTGTCATCCCAAACACCAAAAGATTGCAGGTTCAATTCCCAGTCAGGGCACATATCTAGTTTGTGGGTTTATCCCCTATCAGGGTGCATGCCATGCAGAAAGCAACTGATCATGTTTCCTTGCTTTCTCTCTCCCTCCCTCCCTCCCACTCTAAAAATCAATAAAAACATATCCTCCGGTAAGGATTAAAAAAGAAAACTCAGAAAGGCAGCCCATGTTCTGTCCCTGAACCCCTTTGCTTCTCAGTAGCTTTTGGGCAAGTTGGGGCTGTGGGGGGTCTCACAGTGTGCTCTCTTATCCTTGCCACTGTGAGCTCCAGCACTGACACTGTCTGGTAACAGGCCCCAGAACAAGTGAGTGGTGGGAATGCCAGCAACTGTGTTTGTAATCAGCCTTAGTTGGGAACACCCTTGATATCTTTCAACTGGTGAATGGTTGAACAAACCATGGTCTGTCTACAGTACACCGTGAACACAACTCAGCAATAAAAAAAGGAGCAAAGTAGTGACACAGGCAACCACATGGATCTGCAGAGCATTACATGGAGTAGGAATAGCCAATCCTGAAAGGTTATTTGCTATAGGGTTCCATTTACAGAACATTATTGAAATGACAAAGATCATAGACATGTAGGGTGGACTAGGGGTTGCCAGCAGTTGGAGATGGGGCAGGGGGAGGGACGGGAGGTCACAACATGGGAGAGAGGTGTGGCTGCAAATGGCAGTGCCAGGAATCTTTGTTTTGCAACTTTTCAATATCTTAACTCTCAGAGTGGATACACAGCCTCCACCAGTGAGAGAACCGTATAGAACTTAATACACATACACGAATGGGAGAGCCGAATAAGGTGGGGGACTTGATCAATTTCAACACCCTGGTTGTGATACTGCACTTTGGTTATATAAGATGTTACCATTGGGGCAAACCGGGTGAGGAGCACAAAGGGTCTTTTCACATTATTTCTCACAACTGCACAAGAATTTGCAATGATCTTACAAAAAGTTTAATTTAAAAAAAAAGTAGGGGTGATAGCTTTGCCATTGATGCTGAAAAGGCTGTATGTAACTCAGCGGTCTGGTGGCTGGTGGCTTTACTGAAGCCCTATAGACATGCTGTGACCTTCGGTGGTCTGACATTTGCAATGCAGACCCTCTCCTAGAAATATTTGCCCTACTGTGCAGGAAGGTTATTGAGAAGGTGCCCCCCCCCCAACACTGATAACTACAAAAGAAGTGGGGGAGCAGCTGCTCTCTGTAGGCATCCTGGATGCAAACCTCAGTCCTTAGGTATTGCATTTATTTGCAGTTCAATTTGAAGGGAGAGATGATGGCATGGGGGTGAAAGGAAGGGAGATATTAGGTTGACTCCATTATTAGGGGCTGAATAACTTGAAGCATGGAGTTGCTGCTAGTTGAGACAGGGAGACTCTGAGGAGATGCTCAGGAGCTGGTGTTGGTTGTGTCACATTGGAGGTGACCAGGAAATGCCAGGTGGGAATGTCAGATACATGCATCTACAGTCAGGGGCGATCTGGGCTGCAGTGACTCCACAGGTTTAGGCTTGAGCACCTAGAAGGATCGAGCTGCCATCTACCTAAGGATGGTACTCCATCTATGTCCCAGCTGGAACCATACTCTCTCTGAGCCTGCTCTGGTCATCTCCCACCTTTTAAACAGTTTATCTTGAAATAATTAGAGATTTATAGGAAGTTGCAAAAAACAGTATGGACCCATTGATGGATGAATGAGTGGGATAAACAGAATGTTGCATATCCACTCAATGGAATATTATTCACCCTTACAAAGGAAGGATATAGTGCTGCATGCTGCAACACAGATGAACCTGGGGACATTATGCTAACAAAATAAGCCAGTCACAAAGCAACAAATGGCATACAATTCCCCTTACATAAGGTCCCTAGATTAGTCAAACTTCTAACAACAGTAGTGTGGAGGTCATGAGGGGCTGGAGAGAGGGGGTATGGAGACTTAGTGTTTAATAGGAATAGAACTTCAGTTGTACAAGGTGAAGAGTTCTGGGGATGGGTGATGATGATGGTTGCATGCAAGTGTGAATTTACTTAATGCCACTGAACTGTGCACTTAAAAATGGTTAAGATAGTGCCCTAGCTGGTTTTGCTCAGTGGCTAGAGCATTGACCCATTGACTGAAGGGTCCTGGGTTCAATTCTGGTCAAGGGCACATACCTCGGTTGCAGGCTTTATCCCCAGCCCTGATCGGGGCTCATGTGGGAGGCAACCAATTGATGTGTCTCTAATATTGATGTTTCTTTCTCTCTGTCTCTCCCCCTCCCTTCCACTCTCTAAAAATCAATGGAAAAATATCCTCAGGTGATGATTAACAACAACAAAACATGGTTAAGATGGTGAACCTTACATTGTGTGCATCATACCACAATTTAACAACAAAACAGCACAGAGAAGTCCTGTATGTCCTCCCCTCGTTTCCCAAGTGGTGACTCTTACATAAGTATGGTTCATCTCCAGTCCGGGCAATTGACATTAGTGTCATCCACAGACCCCCTTGATCTCCACATGCCTGGTGGGGAGAAGGGGATGTGGGAAGGGTTCCTGGGCTTCCCGTTACCCTCCGGCCTGTGGCACAAAGCTCTGCCCTGTGCTAGTAAGTAGTCCCCCCTTTTCCGTGCTTTCACTGTCCATGGTTTTAGTTAACCTGTGGTCAACCACTTCCAAAAAAATATTAAATAGAAAATCCAGAAATAAACAATTCATAAGTTTTAAATTGCATGCCGTCCTGAGTAATGTGATGAAATCTCACACCGTCCTGCCTGGGACATGAATCGTCCCTTTGTCCAGTGGCTCCACCCTGCATATGCTCCCTTCCCATTAGTCACTTAGTAGCCATTTGCGTTATCAGATTGACTGCTGTGGTATCACAGTGTTTGTATTCAAGTAACCTTTATTTTACTCAGTAATGGCCTCAAAGCCATTCATATAACTTTTATTACAGTCTACTGTTATAATTGTCCTATTTTATCATTAATTACTGTTGTTAATCTCTTATGGTGCCTAATTTGAAATATAACTTTATCATAGGCATGTATTTATAGGAAAAAACATAGTATATACAGGGTTCAGTACTATCTGCAGTTTCAGGCATCCACTGGGCGTCTTGGAGCGCATCCCCCATGGATAAGAGGGAATTACTGTACTGATCCCTTCAGTGGTCTGCACAGCGTCTGAGACTTTGTACAGGGGCCAGTAACAACTAGAAAAATCTTCAGAGTGCTTGGTTATTGAAGGCCTGAGGCTGAGTCTTTCTCTCTACACAGGAGACACCACCAGAGCCCAGTGCCCAGCAGGCAGGAAGCCAGTCATGGCAGGAGTCCCCAGAGCTCACTATCTTGGAGGCCTGGGAGCCAGGAGACCAGACGCAAACAGATGGCACCCACTCCGAGCAGAGTGTCCAAAGCGCTGTAACACCTGTGTCCAGCGGGGGGGATTCTCAGCCTGAGGTCTCCAATGACATTTCTTCAGAATGGGGGATGGTGCCCTTGGTTTCAGAGAGTGCCAGCCAGGACTGTCTATTGGAACAAGGGACCAATTTGCCAGATGCTGGAAGCACAGAGGGGGGTTGGATTCCAGGTGATCTCAGCCAGAAAGGGCATCTGCCAAGCAGTGGTGCTGAGGAGAAGGAGCCAGACCAAGGAGTCCCACAGGAGGAAGGTGGCCAAGGGGGAACAGGGACTGACCAGGAGAAAGGAGACAGCGTCCTAGGCCCGGTCGCTCGGGGCTCAGAGCCTGGATCTGCAGCCCAGGCCTCACCTGACCCCCTGCAGATACTCAGCAGGGTTGGCAAGGAAGCAGGAGGGAGCTGTAGCAGCCCCAGACACTCCTCCCTTAGGATCAGTGTCATCACAGATGTGGTCACAGACCCCACCAAGTCAGAACAGAGGGCTCTGGAGTTGACGGGGCCAGACGAGAAGGCTAACACCCAGGCACCTGCCTCTCCCAGCGGGAAGGCCCCTGATGGAGGCCATAGCAGGGCCCTGCTCACAGGCCCGCCTCTCGCTGGGGAGACCACAGAAAGCAGAGGAGAGGAAGGGTGGGAGGCCGACCCCCCTGGTGATGTCTCCAGGGGCCCTGCAGCCTCCCTGGTTCTGGCTCATGAGACCCATGAGACCTCAGTAGGTGCTGGATGTTCCAGTCCTGTAGCCTCGGAAATTGACCCAGTTGTTGGTCAGACACAGGTACCAGACCTGGATCAAGAAGGGCTGGGAGGTGTGTGTGCGCAGTCTTTGTTGTCACAGCCCTCAGGTGAAAAGGCAGCCGACTTAGGTAGCCAGAGCCATGAACAAGACTTTGGGGGGTTCAGTCCGTCCCTTGGAGCCTCTGTTCCACCATTGCACAGAGAAACAGTGGTTGGTCCTCCCCCGGATGCCAGGGCCCACCAGGGCAGCGCAGATGCCCCTGCAGGCCCAGCAGGCCAGCCCAAGCATCCTGACCCTGCAGACCAGGCCACCTTGGAACTCGACTTCCTGCCAGACAGCCAGCTACAGGATGCCCTGGAAGCCCTCAACTTTGAAGCCCCACCTGAGCAGGTAAGAGCTTCCTTAAGTTACAGCCAGACCATCCCAGAACAGGTGCCAGTGTCCACAGGCTCTCGTCCAAACCACCCAATGGTGGGGGAAGATGGGGCGTGTGGTCGTCTGTTTCTATGGCAGACGAGTCTAGGGGGTCTGAGTTGCAACTTCAGTGGATGTGTGGAGTCTGTGATTTTCCAGAAAGACCTGCTTTTCCATGAGGGGCCTGTGCCAAACATATGTATGGAATTTTGATTTTATGCTGGGGGCTGCCTGCGTGACAGGCAGTGGGAAAGCTGCCCAATGAGCCTCTGCCAGCCCTGGCGTTCACCTGTCAGGGCAGGTGGCAGCCTTGCTTGAGCCCTGCTCCCAGGGTAGGCTCCATGTCCCTGGCTGGTGGCACACCTGAGCCTGGGCTAAGTGCTTTGCAGTGGTGCTCTGAGAGGTAGGTGGTTCTCAGTTCTCTTTCCACACACTGGGTTGGGCACCTGCCAGAGGTGACACAGCCAGGAGGGGAGGAGGCTGGGTCTGCATCCGGATTGTCCTGATTCTACACCTATGCCTCAGCCACCCCATCCCAGAATGTGGAGTCCAACTCCCTTTACAAACGATGGCCTGTTTTCTCAGCTGTCCCTGTTAAGATTTTTCCCCCAAAAAATGTATTCAATACATGCTTGTCAAGAGCCTGCATGGTCCCTGCCCCTCTGAGGTTTTCAGTAGCACTGTTCCCGCCTACCTCTCCCAAAGTGAGCATTTTTAAAATATATATATTTTTATTGACTGCAGAGAGGAAGGGAGAGGGAGGGAGAGAGAGATAGAAACATCAATGATCAATGATGAGAGAAAATCATTGATCGGTTGCTTCTGCACGCCCCGCACTGGGGATCGAGCCTGCCCCTGACCAGAATCGCCCCTGACCGGAATTGAACCTGGGACCCTTCAGTCCACAGGCCGACACTCTATCCACTGAGCCAAACCAGCTAGGACCAGAGTGAGCACTTTTTTACCCTTTCATTTTGTAACTTAAAGAGTCTGCCTGTGACACAGCTCCCAAACAAGCACAGGATCTCATCGGTGCCCAGCTGAAGAAAGCCAGCTGTTCTGAGGGCGAAGGGGGCGTGACTGGGTTGAGCGAATGTGGTCTCCACTGCATTTTGGCCCTCCACAGTGCTCACCTGTGAGGTGATTGCAGACCTGGCCCTCGCTGGGCTGTCTGGGCCCTGGCTCCTCCTGCACCTGTCTCATGATCACCAGATGAGCAAGATCATGGAAAGTAGGTCACAGTGCAGAGTTAGAACACGATCTCCTGGGAACAGCTGAAATTTTAGAATTGGAGCCTTGTTTCTTGAAAAGTGCAAACTCCTCACTCGGAAGGAAATGCCGTCTGAGTTACTCCCAGTCTCTGGCCTCTTGGGCAGTGGCTAAGGGAGAGAGCTGGGGAAGCAGTTGGGACATTTGGTGGCAGCCAGCAGGCAAAAGAGCGAGCCCTTCCGGACAGGCTGCCAGTGACTGTGCACTTGGGAGTCAGCAGTGGGGGGGCCCTGGGCACACAGCCAGGTGGTCAGACCTGACAGGTGCCCCAGGGGAGTAGGCGCTGCCTTGACAAGGCTGCCAACGCCCAGACGAGTTTTGTTTAGATATTGGGCGTTCCTGAACAAGTTGGGGTGACCCAGCACAAGCAAATTCTCATGGGAAGATTCTGATAGCCCTTGGCAGGAAGGCCAGGTGGGCAGGGACACTTAGGTACAGCACAGATAGAGAGAGGGCAGCCTCACCAGGTACGGTGGTGGGTGCCGCGTCAGGTGAAGCCACTCAGAGACTCAGAGGTTACACAGCGGTGACTGACCAGCTTCAAACCCAGGTCCCCTCACAGGAACTGGTGTTTTCTTCTACAACAGCTCCCTTGGGACATGATACCCCAAAGCTGTGGAGCCTCCATACACCGCTGCATCAAAGGAGCATCAAAGCTGAGTCCCAGGTCCCTTTCAGGGGCCTACAGCTCTGACCCTGGCATGTTCAGAAACACTTTTGTTGTGACCGACATTTACACAGTCCCGGTGGGAGAGAGAATATTCCCATGGCCAGGAACAGTGCAGTGAGTTTGGTGAATATGTGGTCCTTAAGTGAGAGTTGCCTGCATGAAATAGCTAGATGCTGGGAGACACTGTATTATTGTCTACGGCAGAGACCCCAGCTGGCACTGCTGGCGTCCAGGGCCAGCTCGTTCTGGTGGGGGGGGACTGTCCTGTGCACTGTAGCATGTTGAGCAGCATCTCTGGCCTCCACCCAGATGCCAGTAGCACCTTCTTACCCAGTCGTGACAACCAAGAATGTCCCCAGACATTGTGAAGTGTCTCCTGGGGATGGAGTCATCCCCAGGTGAGAACCACTGGCTACAGGCAGTTTTTCAGGTACTTCTTTGCTAGTGTAGCTCAATCCTTCACCCTGTCCCCACCCCATCAGGGGAGAGGATGTCCCTAGAACAGGCCCCTTTCCAACCCCAAGACTTCGGTCTCCTTAAAAGAGGCTCTGGGCTAAGCTGCTGCCCCCACCCCGACCCCGGCCTCTTTCCATGGGACACATGTCACCCCGTGATTGAGCCTGATATTTTCCACAAAAATTAAACTACTGTCAACATTTAGAGACTTAAGCTTCTCCGGGTTATTTGGCTCTCTCCCCTATTAATTATGAATTTTTCCTTTGTAATAGATTTGCAAGATCTTTTCCTGACATAAAATGTGTGGCTTATCTGGCTGACCTCTTCCCTTCAACACTGATGCCCACCTTACTACAGTCACTGCACCGAGGGGTCCTCTCTGTGCCTTTCTAGATACTGCAGGATGCACAGAGAATGTGTGGATGGAGCCCCCAGGCATAGGGCAGCTTTTTGGAAGGTGCAGGCCCAGGAGAGGACAGCAGGGTCAGGCCCCGTGGTTCCCTGTCTGCTCTCTTTCTGAGGGGTGATGGCAAGAGCAGCCCAGCTGGTGGCCCCCAGGTCTAACCACTTTTCCTCCAGGAGTTCCAGCCTCGGTGTTCCTGCCGTGGCCCAGGGTCACAGACGTTTCCTGTGTGACTTTCCTTTCCTTTCCTGTGCAGGGTAACTGTTCACACATGTGCTCTCTTTCCAGTTTCCTGCAGGGAGCGGGGTGGGCCCTTGCTGGCCTGGCGCCAGCCTGAGTACTGAAGGAGGCCCCCTCATGGAGTCTCAGCCAAGGTAGGCCAGGTGGGAGGCCACCCTAGGACCCTCATCTAGGGGGGGTCTTCCCTTTAGAGAGGGAGTGTCACTGCTTTCCTGGCACTGAGCTGCCATGATCTTCACCCCCCGCCCCAGCCCCGTGAGCTCCCATTTTGCTGATGAAGGGGCCTGGCTCTCCCTCACTGGGCCTCGCTTTCCTCAACCCAGTAAGGGAGCTGACTCCTGTCCTTCAAACTGCGTGTGTCCCCGGCTCCCCGCGGGTGGAGAACTGGTCACCAGCCATCTGCCCCCAAACAAGCATCTCTCCCGGACCCCTGGTGGTGCCCCTGGTTCTGTGGGTTGTTTGAATTCAGTGTGTGCATTTTTCTGGAGAAAGGTCCAGAACTTTCCCTGAATCTCCACAGAGTGAAACGGCTAAGGACCTTGACCGGCCGATCTTGGGCGGTCCCAGTCTGGCCCAGGGTGGGCCCTCCAGGGTCTGACCTGGCTTGTCTCCTCACTTCCCACGTGGCTCTGTGCCCCAGGCAGGCCACGGGGTGCACTGTCCATCCACCTGAGGAGTGTGCATGTGTGGGACGAGGGTGTCCTCTCCCCTTGCTCCAGAGGCTCTCACAGTCTGCCATCTCCCTCCAGTCCTTTCTCCCGCCCTGCCGGGGCAAGCACTGGGTGCCATCCTCTCCTGTTACAGGCCTCTCTGCAGAGGCGGTGCCTTATCAATTATTTATGGCCAAGCTTCTGTTTCTGTCTAGCAAGTGTGGAGGAGGGACTAGGGGTGCAACCCTGGGTGAGTTTTTCTTTCCCGCCTCCTCCTCCTCCTCCAGGGATAAGGTAGCATGTTTTTGCCTTCTTCCCTTGCATAAGCTTTGTCACTAGTACCTGTTGTACTAGTGACACACACACACACACACACACACACACACACACACACACCCTGCACAAGTACCAGAGGCCATTCAGTCAAAATGGCCCCACCATTGTTTGAGCAAAGAGGAGGGGGAATCGCGTCTGAGTCTGATGTCCTTGCTGGGCGATGTGACCCCACATGGACATCTGGAAGGCCCCCAGGGCAGGGCCTGTGGTCATGGCCCATGGTGAGTAAGACACAAAAGAAGCTAAGGCCCAGGTCAGCCAGCCATCTTGGGTGACAGCAGCAGGTGGAGCAGAACAGAGATCCTGCAGTGAAAGACCAGGAGGTGCTGCCATGCCAGGGTCTGGTGTGATTTGGGGAAAGCTGTTGACTGGAGGCCAGGAGGACAACCCTCTGCCAGCACCCGCAGGCCACATGTTAGATACAGTGGGTGCTGTGGCACATCCACTGCTCCCATAGAGGTTAACACCATCCAGTGCCGGCTCTTCCAGAAACTGTTCTGGGCACTGGGCACTGGGCAGGCAGCGTGGGACAGGACAAAACATGAAGCCACCATCTACTGCACATTGGGTGGGGCAGGCAGGGTGAGAAAGAGACAAGCAAATTAGATAAGCAGACGGCAGAGTGTTAGGGAGGAAAAGTCAGTGGAGAAGAGGTTAAAATTTTAACTCAGTGATCAGAAAAGTATTCCCCCAATCCCCCTCAAGAAGGAGACATTTGGGAGAGAACATTCCAGAGCCCTAAGGTACTCAGGAAAAGGCCAGGAATTCATCTTGTGGCTGGAGGGAAGGCAGGGACGGGAGGGAGGGGATGGGGGCTGGAGTGGGCAGCAGATGGTGCAGTGACCATTTTCACAGCCCTCCACCCCATACTGCATGGGAGACAAGCTGTGGGCGCAGGAGCTGGGGGTCTGGGGAGACTGGTGGGGAGAGGTGGCTGGATTCTGGGTGTGCTTTTGGCAATCGATCCAGCTGGGTTGGCCATCAGAGCTCTGCCTGCAGTAGCTTAATATCTGGGAAAGCAGACAGCTGAAGGCCCAGCGAAAGCCCCCCGGAATGGTGTTTGGTGGAGCTGCCTGCTGAGGTCAGGCCTCTTATCTTCCTTTCCCTCCAGGACCCACAAGGGGATCCAGCCCCGTGAAGCCACCAGGATGGAGGACGCAACCAATACCATGCGCGGCCTCATTATTGAACTCTCCAACCTGAAGTAAGAGGGGATGGATAGGACAGGCAGTGGGATGGGAAAACCAGTGTGGCAGCAAGAAGGAGGTGCCCTACAGCCGCCCAGACCTCCCATCAAAGGGCCTCCAAAAAGTGTCACTCCTCCTGGGCTCTCACCTATTACGTCATAGATTCATCCTTTACAGACTTGTTAGGTTCTAGAGAGGGCCTGGGACAGTCAGTGGACCACTGTAACAGGTTGATTCTGATTGTGCATGTGTGTCTGAGAGTGTGTGAGCCTCTGTGAGAATGTGCAAGCAGGAGTGTGGGTGTGTCCTGCTCTGCCTCATAGTCAAGCCAGCATTTTCCTGCAGCCGGCTGATCATGAATGCCCACCGGGACCTGGAAGCATTCAAGCGCCTCAACTACCGGAAGGCAAAGCCTGCAGGGAAAGCCCCCATGGCCTACACATCAAAGGGGGCTGGGGCTCTCCCTCGAGGGGAGCAACCCTGGCGGGATTTGTAGATGCCTCCGCATGGGGAAGCTGGGGGACTGTGTGCAGGGCTTACCCCTCCCATGGATTATGTTTTGTTCAAACCCTGGCCCCAGAAGTGCCTGATGTTCCTGCCACAGAGCTGCCAACAGTCCCCCTGCAGACCCCGGAAAGCTTCAGCCCCTGATGTTGCTCCTGGTATTTTGTCACCCCTGGTACTTGGTTATCCCCAAGATGCTCCAGCGGGTACTAGTGGGCCCCAGAAACTGCCCTTTAGCCGACCTGGAAGTCAGCCTCCCTGGGAAACCATGGAGGCCACACTGGAGTCCACAGCAGCCCTCTGGAGTCTGTATGGGGAGGGAACCTGCTCCCTGAGTGGCTGAGGCTGCAGGGGGAAGTGGAGGCGGGCTGGAGCCCCAGGAGCAGGGCCCAGAGCCACCCAGATGTTTATCTGGGTTTGCAAATTTTGGCTCCTTAGCTGAGGTTATGGCAGGTTCAGAATTTGTTTCGTTCCTGGAGGAAAAAGGGCCCCCTTTGTTGGTTGTGCGTTTGCCTCTCTCTGGATTTCCATTTTATTTATTTTGGGAAGAGCACTAATAAATGATTCCCTAGCAAGGCCCCGAGCCTGTTGTTTGAAGGTTGAAGCCTTTGGGTTCCTGGATATTCGGCCCACAAACCTAACTGCCTCTTTCCCCTTTTGCTTCTCATCCTCCCTAGGAGGGCAAGTAGGGCTATTGCTGGGACACAGGTCAGGGTGTCCGCACGAGTTCCCAAGTGTGTGGGATTCCCTGGGAGCGGGTGGCTGTGTGGGCCCACTGAGGCACCCACGCCAGCACCTGTGAGGCAGTGAGCCCACAGGACTCACCTGGAGGTGTTTTTTTCCCGTGCTCAGTGGCCCTGTCTGTTCTCCATGAGACAAGCTGCTTTGAAGCCCCAGACCGGAAGGAGGCAGTCCTGGGGGGTTGTTATTAAGACAGGATGTCAAGGAGGGGCCACTGCACACCTCATCCCCCACAAGCCTGACCACAGCCCCCAAGGTAGCATCAGAAGCAGCCCCAGACACTGTCATCAAACCCATTTCTCAGAAAAAAAGCTATTTCTAATAAATTGGTCACCACCAGGTGGACCAGACCTGTCCCTTTATTAGTGGCTCTGCCAGTGACTCCCTCACCCAGACTCCTAGGGCCATGGCAGAGCACCCCTCCCACTGCCTACACCCTCGAGACTATTCAGGAGGGGAGCAAGTCAGATCAGGGTCCCCTTTCACCTCCTTCCTTGACCCCGCCAGGACATGCCAGTTTGTCCAGTGTGTCCAAACCCTAGGAGCTCTGCCCTTGGCAGTACGCGGCAGCTGGCAGTGCCTGGGATGTTGTGTCCCTAACTCAATTTGAAGACCCTTTGGACTGCCCTCTGTGGTGTTTTTGGCCTCCATTCTCCCCCTCCATGCCTAGGCAGCAGGCTGTCTTCAAGGGCAGGCTCCCATCCCAGACTCTCCTTCTGGGTGGCCCTAGGTCCCAGTTCAAGGGCAGAGGGGACCTGCAAAGTCCAAATCCTGCCTCCACCCATCCCTGGGAGAAAGACTGTGTGGGTTGGGGGTGGGGGCCAGCATCCTGACTTAGGGGAATGTGGATGGACACATGCCACCTGCCAGGGAAACAACCTCCAGTGATGGAGGAGACAGTCAGGGGTAGGTGTTCCTCTGAGCACAGCCCCTTCCCAGGAGAGCTGGATCACAGTCCCTGGGTGGGGAGGGCTCTGTATCTCCTTCTCTTGCCCAAGCAGATCCAGATGACCTCCTAGTACCCCTGGGCAAGGCCTCAACTGGCTGACCCCCCCAGGGCATAGTCAACATAGTCCCATTCTTGCCCCCACCCAGAAGGGCTTGGTATACTGAGTCCATGGCCCAAGTCACGGGAGCATTGTGGTGCGATGGAAAACATTCACTGAGGGCCTCCTTGGCGAGGACAATGGGGGTGAGGGAGGCTTGGTCTAATTGTCTCTCCATTTCTCCCCCCATATCAGGCCCTCACTCCCAGCGTGTGAGATTCCACCTATTTAGCATGTCAATATGTTATGAGTGGCTGAAAGGGTGTTTGAAAACATCAGAAAAAGTCCCAAATATGCCAGCAGCAGAAGTCATGCCCAGAAGTGCCAGGACCTCTCAAAGCCCCACAGCCACCCTATGGTGCCCACTCCCATTTCTCTGCTCCCCCAGGGTCTCAGGGTGAACTGAAATCCAAATAGCAGTCGGGAAAGTGGGAATCACAGGAACATGTGCAGGCTAACAGCCAGGAGAGAAAAGAGGTGCCCCAGCCCCTCCGAAGCTGTTCCCACTAACCTGTCTCAAGACCAGCCTCATCTGACCACTGATCCATTCATAGCATTTATTGAGAGCTGACTGGGCCCCCAGGGTTGGGGAGGGAGGGCAGGTTTTCCCGGGGCCACCTCCTTCCTCACAGGGCTCTTTGGGTCGTGTTTCCTGGCGCTGCTCCCTCATTCAAGGCCCAGGCTGGGGGAGGGGTGCAGGGGAGGGTCCTTGCCTGATGCATCTTCCCTGAAATCCAGCCTTCAAGGAGTCCCCAGGCTTGGGGAAGACGGTATCCCGGGCGTCCTCCCCGCACCTGCCCTCTAGGCAGAATTGGAGGGGTAGCAGGAAGAAGGCGAAGGTCCCGACGACGACTTCCTGGCACCTTTGGAACCTGAGTTTCAAAAGCGGAAGGGGGAGGAGAAAAACAATAATAGGCGATGATTCATGTGGCCAAAGTACCAGTTCAACCTACAGGGCTGTCAGGGCTCTGGCGTCACCCAGAGGCTGATTGTGGAACAGCACCCAAATCACATTACTGGATCAAGTCAAGCCCAGATGAGACCCAGAAACCCCCCCCCCCCCCCCCCCCCCCCCCGCTCCGTCCTGTGGTGCTGCCCCCTCGTGGCCGTAGGGCCTAGGGACCCCGTATTTGTGATACCTAGAGTGTTACCAGGGAGGCCGGCGTCCCGCAGCCCTTTTGCGCCAGGGATGTCTCCCTCACCCTTCACTCCATACCCTGGGAGGTGAGTGTTCCTGCTCCCTCAGAATTAAGGGGGAAAGGGAAGATTCTGACACCATCATCTCATGTGTCCCCTCAGCTTCCTGCCACCAAGTTGGACCTCACTGAACCGCACAGGGTTACTGTCTTCTCCTGGAGGCAAGCTCGCTCTTTCAAAATGTTCACTTTGCAGCTGCGGGGACAGGCTGGGATCCTCCCCGCTCACCACGCTCATGGAGCTCAGCCTGATGGGAGGCAGTCCCCACCCACAGTCCTCACATAGCGACACTGCCCATCAGAACCCCTTCCCCTGCCCTGGCCAGTGAGGCTCGGTTGGTTGGAGGGTCCCCACATACACCAGAGGGTGGTGGGTTCCATTCCTGGCTGGGCATCCAGCCAGGTTTTTGGTTTGACCCCCAGTCGGGATGTGTGCAGGAGGCAACCAGTGGATGTTTCTCTCTCACATTAATGTTTCTTTTTGTCTCTCTCTGCCTTCCTCTCTTTAAAATCAATAATTTTTTAAAAAGAACCCCCTCTGTTGGCTGACTACCCCAGAAAGTCGCTGAAATGGATCTGTCCTTAAAACCCCACCGGAGCTGAGGTCTTTGCATCTCTTCTGATAACTGCTGTCATTGAAGCCCAAGCTACTCAAAGCCTGCATGGTCTGTGGCCTGGCAGCGTGGCCACCTCCTGGGGAGCTGCTTAGAAATGCAGCGGCTCAGGCCTCACCCAAACAAACTTGTGAAGTGAGACCCACATTTGATGAGCAAGATCAGAGTGGGGGGCCATGCAGGTGAGGAGACTGGGCTTGGACCTGGGTAGGGGGGAGGGCTCCGGAGCAGCTCGCGCCTAAGCTACAGCCCCGGGTGCTCTACGGGGCTGCCCCACACACAGCAAACTCCCCTCCAGCCTGACCTTGCCCTGGGCCCTGGGCCATTCCCTCTGGCCTGCCTCAGACACCTCTGCCTGGAGAACCAGCAGCTTTCACCACTCTCAAATCCACCCCTAGGTCCACCCGCTTAGCCACACTCTTAACACGCACACATGGTCTTGCCACTTCTGTGGGTCCCTGCTGCCCAAGTCCAAGCTCTTTAATGTGACCCACAAGGCCCTATAGGCCCTTCAGCTTGTCCCCAAGTCTCTGACACCTCCCCCTCCACCACACAGTCACACACTCCCCATCCCTAAGTTCCTGAACAAGCCCCAATGCCTGGCCACACTTCCTGCTCTCCACCAAACTAAATCAGGCTTCCCGAGGTCCCTTCCTCCAGGAAGCCCTCCTGCGTCCCCTTATCTGGACCAGGTACTTCTCTAGACTCCCCCATTCAGCACCTATCACCCTGTGTTTTAACTGCTGTTCTTCCATCTATCTTGTTCACCACTAGCCCAGCCCAGCACTTGGCATAGAACAGGCACACAAACTATTAGCAAATGAGTAAGAAATAAGGAAGCTAGGGTTCAGAGAGTCTGAGCAACTTCTCTCAGAGCACACAGCTCCTCAGAGCCACCCACTGTCAAGCCCTTGCTGTGCCCATCCCCAGATCCCATTGCTTGCTAATCCCCATGGCTTCCATGCCAGGTCGCCTGTGCCTGGGAAAGGATGGCATTTCCCCTAAGGGCCCAGAGAGGGAGAGTCCCTTTCCCAAGACTGCAGAGCAAAGTCAAGCCCCAGCTGACCCACCTGGGCAACACTTCTAGAATACAAAGGTTCCTACGCAGATTCTCGACCCCAACCCTATGAGGTGGGTACTGGGGTTAATCCCACTTAACAAAGGCATCACAGTGGACTTCCCCCAGCCACCTGCACTGGCTCCTCCTCCTCCTCTACGGTGACTGGAGTCCTGTGTCCTCGCCTTGTCAGACCGAGCCAACTTCTTGCCTGCAGAGTTGCGGGTGGTGTAGCTGTAGACAGAGGTGTAGCCTTGGCCGGTGAGCGGGCAGAAGCGGCGGGTGTGGGCTCGATCTCTAGTGGCACCGCACTGGGGGCACACGTAGTCTCGAAGGATGGGGCACAGCACCCGGCCTGCCTCGTCCTTGAGCATGTGGGACTGGTAGATGGCCCGGGACTCGCCGTTGTGTTTGCAGAAAGAGCACAAGCGTTCTGGAGCTGGTGAGGGTTCCGGGCTAGACCTCGGATCCCCTGGTCCTGGCACTGGTTCTGGCTGGGGGTCCAGCCTGGTCTCAGGCTCTTCTTCCCCACGCAGAGCCCCCACCAGACGTGCCAAACCCAGGTAATCTGTCCACAGGTCGAAGGTCCCCATGGCTGGGCAATATGTGCCAGGCGTTGGGGCAGAGAGAGGAGAAACCCTGCCTGCCCCAAGCTCGTCCTTCTCCACTTCCTCCCTGCCCCTCCCTTCCCCTCTCTGGAGCCTAGGAGTCTGGGCTGTCAGTCCCTCCTTATACCTCCAAGGGATTGTGAAGGGGGAGGAATAGCCTGTGGGAGACTTCTTATTGTCACAGGGGGGCTAGCTGCTGCTCCCTGTAAATGCACCTGCCAAGGAGATGTTTGGTCTCTGAGTGGGGCAAGGGGGATACAGGACACAGTCTGCAGGGGGCACCTGCAATTTAGAGCCACATACCCCACCCAGAGGGTGTTTGGAGGGCTACCCCCAAGCCCTCCTTTGAGGAGGCCTGCCACCCTGCCCCACAGGGTTTGGGGTGGGTGGGTGGATAGTGTTGGAAGCCCCGCCCTCAAGGCAAGCATTGACTTAACCTGTAACTTAGTAATTGCTTTCTTCCTTCCCTGGGCTGGGGGTAGGGTCAGGTGCCCCTGGGCCTTTGGGGAATGGGAGGGGGGGGGGACTGGATGGGGGACACCTGCAGATTCTCCAGATGTCCCTGGAAGGAGGATGGTATCTGGCCCTCAGCCCCCAGCTCTGGTCTGCCTTGGGGTGTTTTCACACCTATTGTCCCCCACTTAATGGATGAACAAACTGAGGTATGAAGCCACCTGCCCCTAAGGCTGTTCACAAAGACTAACACAAAAGTCTGCCTTCCCCCATCTCCTTACTGGAGCCCCCAAGGCTAGGTGCTGGCCAGGCAGCCTGTTCTGTCCCTGGGGTGGTGAGGGGGTGAAATGGGGAGGCTGGGGAGAGCAGAGGCCAGGCTGGGCTAATGGGAGGACCCCCAGCACTCGCCAGTCTTGATCTTCCCTCCCTCAAGTGAGAGCTCAGTCAGCCTCAGGAGGATGGAGTGTGCCCAGGAGTGGGGCACAGACATGCAGGGGGAGTGATCAGCAGCACCAAGGTGCTAGGTGGGCAATGGAGGGTGTGGGCAAGGAGGGTGAGAAAGCTGAGCCCAGGATTTGGACACAGAGAAGAGGACCCTTCACTTATTCTTTCAAGAGCCTCAGGGAGCAGAGCTCATCACCGCTTCCAGAAGGGTTTTTAGCTGTCCAGCCCCTCCAACCCTCCAGGATTTCCTCCCCAAATCCAGCTCGTGTCCATTAGGACCCCAGACCCCAGCCCTCCCAAGTGGTGAGAGGCTGGGGTCAGGGCAAGGTACAGGCTGAGCAATTTGGGGGGAACCCATGGTGGGTCTTGTCCCCCAGCCCACTCCCCTCAGGCTGTGTGTGGCCCAGCCACAGTGACATTCATCCCTCGGTGGGTCTGGCCTCCTCCTCACAACCCACCGACAACAATGAATGTTGATTGTGACTTTCTCTGTGGCCTAAAGGAGGGGATGTGATCAGGTAGGACCCAGCCCCCCAGATCATGGAAGGTGGGGGGGTCACGATGGCTGGATGGCACTTCCAGGCCTCGGGGTCCACTCAACGGTCGATGGTTTGCCTGAGCTGCCCAAACTCACCGACAGGTTGAATGTTCCCCCAAGCCCTTGGCAACTTCTTGATGGTGGTGGTGGTGGTGGTGGTAGTGGGGTGTCCCAGAGTAGAGGGTGGGGTGCAAGGAACCAGAGAGGTGAGGGAGGGAGGGACCTATTGACTCATTAAGTAAGCAAACAGTAGGTGCCAACTGTCTGTTCCATGACCTGGAAAAGCATGACATTAATATAACTAGTTGTAACAGTAGATGTTTATGTAGTTTTGCTACATGGATGTGGCAATACCGGGTGCTGGGCTCCCTGCTCCATGCATGTACTCACATCATCCTCAAAAGGGCCCTAGGATGGTGCAGATGTGGCCCATTTGTCAGTGTGGAAGACTGAGGCCAGGGGGCACTACTCCTAGTGGCCCCAAGATGTGTCTGGCTGCCTTGCATGGAGAGGGGGGAAGGAGCATCATTCAACAGAGAGATAAACAAGTCATTTTAATACAATGTATACCTTCCACAAGCCTCACTGTGTTCCTGGGCACAATTGTTTATGAATCACAACAACCCCTGGGGGTCATCATCCTTCACTTTGCAAATGCAGGCCCACCCTTTGGTCCATTTGCCCACTGGACAGGGGAGAAGCGAGAGGATGTCAGGGGACGCCTGGTGCCCTCCTGCAGGGTCTCAAGGCATCTGAACTCAGGCCCTTGAGCGACCATGCAAGGTCGCTCACCCTCAAACCTCAAAATACACTGCGGGCAAACAGCTACTTGGACTCCAACTGCAGCAAGATGCTGCCCCCTCCTCATTTCCTCCTGGTAGAAAGGGCTTCCAGTCCTTCCCTCCAGGGGCTGTGCACACTTGGGTGCCCATCCCCTCGGGTACCCCCAGGCGCAGTCTTTAGGGAGCTGGCCGCCACCTGGGTCCACAGACTGTGAGGACGTCAGGGAGAGGTTTCTTCAAATTTCCTGTCCCCTCCCATTTCACTCAGGGGAAGGTGGCGCCCCAATGAACCCCTTGACATACCCTAAGCAGGACCAGGGACCCCGAATATGCCAAGTTTGAATAAACCCTGAAATGTCCCTGATGTAGCTGACCTGAGCCAGCACAGCCCCTCAAACCCCTCCCTCGAGACCCCACCCAGATCCTTCCCCTTACGGCCCCCACATATTGCCAGTCCCCAGGTCCCTCCTTCTAAAGCCCGCCCAAATAGATTCCCATGGAGCCCCCCCACCAAATTCAACCCCATAAAACCTGCCGCCTAAACAGGTCCTCAAAGAGCCCAGCTCCCCTAAAGGCCTCCTCCCAGGCCCCGCCCTCCGAGCCGCCCTAACCTTTGTGGCACCCCACATTTTGTCGGCCCCCCGGGGGGGCGGCCAAGGTCACAGAGGCCCGCCCCTAGGACCATCCTCTGGAACCGTCGTGCCTAGACGCCCATGGACTGTGACCCTAGGAATCGCCAAGGCCGCCCCCTTGGCGCCCAACCCCCTAAGTTCCGCCCCAACAGGACTTGCCCCCAAACCGGAGCCCCTCGGAGCCCGACCCCCGCAAGACTCGCCCATGAAATTTCCCCAACGCATGAAGCCCTTTCCCCTAAGCCGGGCCTCTCGTCCAGGCCGGGGTCCAGTCAAGTTCGCACCCCTGTCGGGAGCGCTAGGTGGGGGGCCTCCCAGGGGCCCATCCGCCCAGCCATTAGGGCCCCATTCAGGGGTGGGTGGGCCGCGGCCCGGGCTCCTCCCCTTTTCTCCTGCCAATTGTTTACATACATCACCCTATTATTAGGAAACTCATTTTACCGATGAGGAAGGTGATGCTCTGAGAGTGGTAACAACTGCTGAGGTTCCTCAAAAGCTTTGTTCTTGGTGACCATGACGCTAGAATGCGAGGTCATCAGACCACACACAGAGGTCTGACCACACTGAGGGTCCCCCTGAGACACCCTGTGCCTTCTCTCCCCTGGCTTCCCTGAGGGCACTGGTCTTTTGTTTTTTAAGTAAAATTGTTGGTTTTTAAATTGATTTGAGCGAGAGCGAGAGCAACATCGATTTATTGCTCCACTTATGCATTCACTGGCTGCTTCTTGTATGTGCCCCGAGGGGAGATGGGACCCACAGCCTTGGCTTATCAGAAGGACGCTCGGGGCACTCACTGATCTTGACCTACCAAAGAGGGAGGTCCCTGCAAGGGTTTCCCCCAAATCGGCCGGGACAGGCTGGTCCCGGCCAT